CGTAACGAACCGTTTCAAAGGGGGCCGCCCACTCCGGCATCTCGCACGTTCAGTGTGGCGCGAGCACCTCTCCCCGGATCCCACGGAGCGCCACCCCTGTGTGGACACCTGTGTGGCCTTTGTCGAATCAGTACTGCATGGCCGTGCCGGGGGCTGCACTTGCATGCTTTTTACAGGCTCTCGGGCTCAAAGCAGCGCGCCGGCTGCGTTTAAGAGATTGTCCCGTTACTGTTTTTTCTTTCATCAGCCCTGGGGAAGGGAAGTTTTGTAGAACATGCGGTTTCTTCCTATCAAGTTAGAGTATAATCTCCGTTCTGGGTGCGGCGGGAAGCACGTCTGCAGGCCCGGAGGTGGGCCCGGCCCGGACACCGACGCTGCCGTCACGGTGGCCTTGGGCCCCCGGCCTCCGGGACCGCGGGGAGCGGGCGTCTGCGGTCGCACGGCCCTAATCTGTGGTGGGGGCACAGGAGCCGCAGCGCACGGAGCCCGTCCCCGAACAGTGGGTGTGACCAGCGGCCGCCACCTGGCCGCCCACGACGTGTCGCCGGGACCTCTTGTGGGAACGGAAGGCGGCCTTACCTCCCGGTGCCAGGCCGAGCGCCCCTCGCCGCCCGCGGGCTGCATGACGGTGGTCCAGTTCTGCGGCTGGGCCCTGCAGAGCGCGCTGCGGGCGCTCAGGGAGTACGTGTACGTGAACAGCCCGTTCACCTCCAGCAGGACGTACTCCGTGTGGACCACCTCCTGGAACTTTCCTTTCCGCCACCTGGGACACACACAGGGCTCGGCTGCAGAGAGGTACAGCCGCCCCCACGCGTTCCGAGACCATCTGGGGATGGCGGGGGGCGGCAGAGCAAGACGGAGCTCCCCCGCAGCCCGGTGGCCCCACGGGGCTCCACATGTGGACACCCCAGGACAGGTGGGAAGAGCCGGCAGAACAGGGGTGGGGGGAGCAGGCAGCGGTGTTTTCGACCAAGTGGCCACCATGAGCGGAGGCTGGAGGACCCTGATATTCTATAACTGAATAATGTCACTTGTAAAGAAACTGATGAATTACACAGCATCTAAACCAACAAACAGGTAAGACCCCTCGCCACCTGTCCTGTGAAGTCCTTCTGATGACATCTGCGGACATTCAAAGGGGACAGAGTTAGGGCTGTTCTAAAGCATTGTTTTGGTGCACAGTCTGTGGCCTCCAGCACAGTGGGGGCTCCCGCCCCTCCTGGGATTGGACCCTCTCTCCCTGACCTTCCCTCCAGGCCAGCCTGCATCGCACCACAGGGCAGCTCTGAGCTGGGGATTGGCCCTTGGAGCCGGGCTCAGTCCTGTGTGCCCAGCCCACAGTTTTTCCCCAGCAAGGGATGAAGGCCAGGTGGAACTAAGATGCAACATGGTAATGCACCTAAATGTTTACAGGTATGAGGCAGTTCCTGCCATCAGTAAGTCAGCCAACACCTATCTAGTCTGACGATATCTGCTGTGAGTGGGGGCAACAAATGGGGGAGCGGGGGGTGGGCACGGGCCTACAGGGTTTATGTAAATTAATGATCATTAAATAAAATGGAAAGGCATGTTCCTTGGGCGCACTGGCCACATGTCCAGTGCTCAGTAGCCCTGCGTGGTTCTGGGCTGCCGACTGGGCTTTGCAGAATTACGGGACATTTCTGTCATCACAGGAAGTTCCACGGGGCAGCGCTGGGCTGGGGCTGCAGTAGGGTCGCTTCACCCCAAGGTGGATGGTCCTGGCCGTGCTGCCCAAAATTGGTTGGCTCTGCTGGGTCAATCACCCACAGAAATAGAGGGATTCCACGTAGAGGTACAATGAAGGAAGGCAGCAGAACTCACGGGAGGAGCAACATTAGTGTTATGGGCTGAACTGTGCCCCCATCAGAGATGCCTGCCTACAAGGAAGCCCGAGCCCCAGCGCAACTGTACTCAAGGTGGGGCCTTAGGCTGAGGGACGTCATAAGGGTGGCCGGTGATCTGAGAAGCTCCCGCCCCCCAACCTGTGGGGACCCAGGGAGAAGGGGGCCTCAGGGGAAGGCACGCCCACCCACGCCTTGAGCTCGGACCTCAGCCCTCCAGAGGTGAGGCAGCGTGGGAGGAGCAGGGCCCTGGGTGTGGGTGTGCGGGAGTGGGGCTGGGGTCTCACATCTCCACCACGGGCTTCCATGGGGTGTCGTAGTAGACGAGGTCGGGGCAGCCCAGCCTGTCGTACGGGTAGTGCACCACCTGGTCCTTAGTGGCCTTCTGCCCCCTGAAGTTGGGGTCGTAGGCGTCCCTAAGCAGATACGGGAGCAGGGAGGTAGGAGGGGGGCATCGGAGCTGTGGTCGGATGGCTCTGACCCCCTGGGAAGGTTAAGGCAGTGGGTCCGCCTGGCTGCCCCATGGGGCATGGGTGTGTGGCCACACACTGTTCTGGATGTTTCTGGGAGGCTGGTTTTGGAGACGAGATTAGTATTTATATCAGTGAACCCTTGAGGAGAGCAGAGTGCCCTCCTTAAGGTGGGCACCTGACAGAGACAGACGCCAAGAGATTCTGCCCGCGCGGCCTTGGGGCTCCAACTGCCTCCCTCCCCTCAGCCTGCAGCATCTTCCGTCAGACTGCGGGTTTACCGACCCCTGCGACCCTGGTTCCTTAACGGAAGTCTCTCTCTCTGCGTCTGCCTGTCCCCGCCCCTCCCCCACTCTCTCTCTCCTTCACACGCACACACGCATCCTGTTGCTTCTCTTTCCCTGGAGCCCCTGACGCACACGCCTTCCCACAGTGGCACCTAGGATCCCCAGCACTGTATGGAGGGCCACCTGGTCCCTACCCCCTGCTGCCTTGGCTGAGAGCATCTGGCTAACTCCACTAGCTCAGGTGCGCAGGTGGCCGCGCTCTGAGGGCTGGTGGCACGCTGGCGAGGTGTCAGAGGTGGTCCAGTGGGCGGCTGAGCCTGGGTGGGGGGCTCTGCCACCTCCCCTTCCTGGAGATCAATTTAAAAGCTATTCTCGATCTGCCCCTGGCGGTGGAGTGCGGGACATGGGAGGGGGTGCTGAAGGGAAACCCCTGGCTCACCTCTCAATGACGTAGCTGTAACTGTCACTCAGGGCCATGGTGTCCAGAATGCCCTTGTAGCAGGCCGAGACCTCCCTGTGAGCAACAAGGGACGGCGAGAAGCTGCCCGACGCCACCCAGAACTGGGTACTCGGGCATGTTTCCTTTCGGCATTTTGAGCCCCACTGGTTTGATTTTTGAGCTCTTTCTCACTTTCTGGTTCAAGTCGCAGCCGACTGAGATGAGCACCATCTGCGGGGGAGGAGACAGGGATGCTGGCGGGACCGGCGAGGGCTGCCGACAGCCCGGCCATGGCGAAAACCCACATGGGGACACACTCACGCCTGGAGGGATTTAGCACAGCGCCTGTGGACCCCACCACGGTGACCCCGGGGCCTGAGAGTCACTGTCACTGTGCCCGGCCCCGTGGAGAGCCTGCCCGAGCCGAGGGGTGCAGCTAAGGCCCCCATGGCCGGCCTACCTCGCAGCAGCTGCGCAGAGACTGGAAGCCAGTCTATATGAGCCAGGACAACGCTTAGCATATGGAGGGCAAGGGGAGAAATGAATGAATGAATGGGCTGCAATGAGCAAAGCAGGAGGAGAGAGAGAAAGAATGATTTGGGGTCAGGCTGACAGCCTTAGAGACACGCTGCTCAAACGGGGGGGGTGGGTACCTCAGAGAGACGCAGGGCCTAAAAGCCACAGGACAGAGACTTTTGAACAAGAGCTTTACATTGAGACAAACATGGCTTTACCATGAGACAGAATGCAAGACTCAAATCAACTTTTAAAAAATTGAGGTAAAATACCCATGACATCAAATGCACCATCTTCACCGTCTCCCAGTACACAGGTCCGTGCAGCCGCCCCCACCCCCACCCCCAGAACTTTCCCTCTCCCTAAGCTGACCTCTGTCCCCTGAAGCGCACCCTTCCCCCCTTCCCCCGCCCCTGCCCCCACCCCACTTTCGGTCTCTGTGGATGCGGCTCTGCTAGGGACGCCCTGGGAGGGGGATCAGACAGGGTGTGCCTGTTTTGTCTGCTCATGTCACTGCACAGCGTGTCCTCGAGGTCCACCCACGGTGCACCAGGTGTCAGGGGGTCCTTTCTTTTTCAGGCTGGGCACTATTCCCGCACGTGCCTGGACACCCTGCATGCACCCATCCCCCGTCCACGGACACCTGGGATGCCCCCAGGTCTGGGCTGTTGTGTGGGGCACAGCTGAGGAGGCGTGTGCCCAGGTTTTCGGAGGCTGTGTGTTGTTTCTGGGCCCCTTGGGGGTGCTGAGGAGGGCTTTTACCCCAGTTGGCCGGAGGCTGTTCTGGGGTTGCTCAAGAAGGACTGTGGACTGACGCACCTGACGTGAGGTCAGGGAGTCACGGGGGGCAGCCCTGGCAAGGGGACGGTGACGGAGGACGGGCAGGGAGCCTGGCAACCGGGACAGGATCACTTCCATTTCCCGATCCTGAACTGGGGCTTGGCCGGCCCCGCAGCAAAAAGCCCCCCAAGGCCCACTGCCATTATTCTTAACACGAGCCACGAAGAATATGGGACAGCACAAGTTTGGGACATACCAGTGGCTTGAGGTCCACACAGGAAATTTCCTTGTCGTCTATGTCCAGAGAGATGGTGGACATTGTGGGTCTTTTTATGCTGCAAAGCAATGGGGGGTGTTATTGTATTGCACACCAGTATTGCAGTAAAAAGCATCATCGACCCATCCACCCGTCATCCATCCCCCCATACCCATCCCCCCATCTATCCATCACCCATTCATTGCCTACCCATTACCCGTCCATCCAGCCGTCCTCAGCCATTCATTCCGGCATTTCCGCGGAGAACCTCTGCTCACACATGGCGGCCCTGCTCTGCCTCTAGTTTCTACCTCTTCTCAAGTCAGTTTTGCTAATGCTTTATAACAACTTATTGCCAAGAACACCTGAAATCCTACCTCCCCCACCATCCCACTTTTCCTTACACTCCAGTTCCAACAGCCTTCATCCCATTACCCTCTCTTCTCAGGTGCTTCTCCCTCCTTTCTTGGCCTGGTCGACTCCTACCCATTGTTCAGAGAAGCCTTCCCTGACCACCCCCATGACCACATGGGAGCCCCGTCTCCCCACCACTGGACACTCCCAGCCCTCAGCTGTGATGGTGCTTTTGTGAGCATCTATCCACGCAGTCCCAGGAAGCAGGCACTCCACAGCGAGATCAGAGGCCAGGGCTCTCTGGACATCACGGCCTTGGAACAGAGGGGAGAACTCACCGACCACAAATGGAAGCCAGAAGTCAGGGGCTCCCGGGGCCCTGGGTGCAGCGGGTGGGGCTCCCCGAGAGGCCAGTTTGAGGGTGGGGGTCTGGCGCCTCAGGCATGGCCAAGGTGGCTGAGCCGGGGGCACTGGCATCCTCGTGGGGGGGGGTAAGGCGGATGCCCCCGCCCGAGGCCGGGCTGTGCCTGGGGGCTGGGGGCCGTGGGGACGGTCGGCTGCTGTCAGGGCGCCTGGTCCGCTCTCCCTGGAGCCCGGCCTGTCCGCGCACCTGTGCCTGCGAACTTCCCGGCGTCTCCCTGTTGTTCATGTGCCCCTTTTCCCTCCGCGGGCCCGTCTATCCCTCCTGCCTCTCCCCTCCCCCCCTCCCTGTCACATCAGGGCCGCGGCCCTGCCCTGTCCCCCTCACCCACCTGGGCTCTCTGCCGCACATGGGCCCCGCCTGCGCGCAGGGCACCGCTCCTGGATGATGAGGCGCAAGGGCGAGATGCACCTGCGGAAGGGAAGCCTCCGTCAGCACTGAGGCGCCCCTCACGGAGCACGGTCAGGTCACGGGCACTGCCAGGAGGGTCGCCAGCCCCCTCGCGCTGGGCTCCAGGCACAGGAACGGCGGGCACCTGCGCACCCACGTCGAGGGCGAGCTCGCCGCCGAGGCCTCCCTCCCGCGCCTGCGCGCTGCCTCTGCCCCGCCTGCGCCCGCGCCCCGCCCCGCCCCGCCCCTCCTGCGCCTGCGCTGCACCCCTTCCCTCTGCGCCTCCCCTTCCCTCCTCCGCCCGTGGCCCACCATCCCTGTGCGTCCTCGTGTGCCTGGTTCCGTTAATCTCGCATTCGTTTGTGGGTTTGAGTCCCAGCTTTGCCAGGACGCATGAGCTCCTGCTCAGATTACTTAGCCTCATTCATCAAGCTGTATATGTTGTGAGGGTTTTTTCTGTTAAAAAATGACCTGGCCTCACTACGCCTCAGTTTACCCATCTGTAAAATGTGGGGTTTTATATATAAACATAAAGAATATTAAAAAGATGAAACATATATGTATGCTTCATATTAAATTTCATATAAAATGTATTGTTTTATATTAGCATTTTAAATATAAATACATAAAATAGCACCTAACACAAAGGTTTGCCACAAGGATTTAGTGAGTTTACACACACAAAATAGCTCTTGGCTCACACTAAGCATTACATCAGCATGAGCTATTCTTGTGGTTATTGTTATCAATGTCTCTTCTCCAATGTCTCATTTCCTCAACAAGGTCACCCCATGACCCTTGCTCCCCAAATTCACCCCCACCCCCACTGAATGACTGTAAAAGGCGCCAAACTGCCTTGTTCAAGGTGGGCCTCCAGGATCTAGAACAGTATCAGCCCCTTGAGTGTCTGTTCAATGAATGAATGCCCAATTCACAGATTAGGAAAGGGAATAAGAGACCTGAAGGGACTTGTTCAGTCAATGCAATAAAATAGGCAGGAAGTAATCGGAGAAAACTAACAGAAGGAAGGGACAGACAGGGTGTGGGTAACACCAGCCATTGGGTTTGAGCCCAGCTGTGTTTGGGATGCCTGTCAGATGAGGAGTGGGCAGTTGTATCCAAGAGTCTGGAGTGGAGGGGAGAAGCCTCACCTGGATTAGATGGAATCAGCCGGTTCTGCCAGGACGAAGGAGTGGTGTGCCATCTTGAATTTTCAAGTCAGACATCAGCACAAATAATTATGTGGAGGAGGAGCTTGGGCCACAAAGATGTTCACACCGTTTCCTGTAGTAAAGGTGGGGAAAAAGAAAGTGGAACCCGCCTGGGGCTTGCCATCTAAGCAATGGGGGTCAGCCCCTGGTGCTTCGAGAATATATATTCCCCACAGGACGTACGTGGCTCGAGGGTAAGTGGTCAGCAGGTGGGGCATCAGTGGGCAAACACCGAGCTCAGTGAAGCTTCTCAGTTTTCTGTTCATTCGTTGGGTGGCTTGCTCGTTCAGGGAACACTGGAGCATGAACTCAGGGCTTGCACTGCGCCGGGTCCGGCATCAAGACCAGCGTGGTCCCTGCCCTTGTGGGGTGTGCCTTGGCCCTGGCTGCCGTGACGAAATACCAGACTGGCAGGCTCAGACCACAGACGTTTATGTCACACAGTCCTGAAGGCTGGAAGTACGAGATGAAGATGCCTCTGATTGAGCTCTGGGTGAGGGCCACCTTCACCTGTCCTGCTTGTTGGAGAGAGGGAACTAGCTCACTCCTGTGTCTCCTTCAAAAGGGGCACCAACCATCAGGGGGGCTCCACTCTCAGGACCTGATCTAAACCTCATCACCAAATACCCATCTCATGGGGGTCTAGGGCTTCAACATAGGGATTGTAGGGGGACACATTCAGCTGTGAGCAGACAGGGCCTTGAGATAGATGCTCTCTGCCACTGGTTGGGCCCCATGGGGTTGCTGTGGATAGTGGTGCAGGTTGCACACAGTGTAAAGATGAGGGTGGGCTGGAGTCCAGCCTGGAGGAATGGTCGCCCTTTGCATGCAGAGGCTCCATCTCTGATCTTTCTGGACACTGAAGGACAGCCATGGACTCCAGAGCCTCCTTGCACGTGAGGCTGCCTTGGGCCATGTCCCTGCCATGCCCCAGGCCACCATGAGCAGACTGTGTATTCAAGGATGCAGCCCCTCTTTCCACATCAGATCATCATCCTCAGTTCCGGTGAGATCAACCTGAACCCTGGTGAGATACATCCCCATACCTGAGTGCCCTGCTCACACTGAAGGCAATTCAGGGCTGTCTGAGCCTTGTGGCAATCTGGACTATTGGCTGGACAGAGGTTGCCATCTTGGCTTTAAGAAAGGGAAACTGAGGCTGGCAGAGGAGGCACATCTGGCACTCAGTGCCAGCTCCCAGGGTCCCTGGGCACTAAGTCTGGGATGTTGGTCATGCCCTGTTTTGCAGAGGGCTCTTGGCCCATTCCCAGAGAAATGCCCCTGGGAGGTGGGCAGCTTTGGGCCCCATGTTCTCATCTGTACAATGGGGACAGGCCCCCTTGCAGAATCAAGGTGACAATGGTACATGGTCTGCAATGGGGAACCTCTGGTGCAGGGAGCGGGGTTTCAGGGCCAGTGGTGGGTGTGGGGATTGTTCAGTAGCCGCCTGACTCCTTGTGCCTGAACAAGTGTCAGATCAGTGTAGAGACTGGAGAGCCCTGGAACGCACTGACATAAGGGCCTGGCTTTCTGCTGCACCTCAAAAGCCAGCCCACTAGGCTGTCAGACATCATGTACAATGGAGACCAGGTGGTCATGGAGTTCACCAGTCAGGGCATTGATGCCACCAATGCAGAGGTCTCCTTGGATAGCACCAAGATCATGAAGTGGACCATCCTGGAGACGGACTTTTCTATAGTGAGAGGCAAGCTGAGCAGGTGCAGGCCCTAGCTGGGGTGCCCGGCATCTGTGTTGCCAACAGGCACCCCCAAGGGGTCTGACACATGGTGAAGGCTGCCGTCCACTGGGTGGTCCATGGGCAGGGTGGAAGCTCTTCAATTGAAGCCTCCTGCTGTTCTGATACTTCTGACACCACTCATCCCTCTTCAGCCTTAGAACAAACTCAGCCTGCAAACAGCCGGTCCTGTGGTGATGGGGCTCCGGGTAGGGGTGGAGGGATGACCTGGACCTGATTCTATTACAGGGGCAACTGTGAAACTGAAGAGGGCCATTGTGGCCAAGATATACCAAGCTGGAATTGAAAGGACAAGTAGTAGCAGCCACCTGGAAAGGGGTCCCATGGCCTCCCTTCTCTATGGAAGTGACTGTGATCCCTCCATCCATTTTACAAAGGGAGGGACACTGCTCCTCCCCTCCAAGAGACCCAGTTTTAATTAAGATGTCCCTCTTTGGGGAAGTGTTTTAAATTGAAATGTGAAAGAATAAATTGGTTTCACTAAAGCTATATTTCTTACCTGTGGTGACTGACTCCCCCAACCCCCACCAGGAGACACTGGGCAATGTATGGAGACAGGCTTGGTCACTATGGTGAGGCAGGCAGGCACTCTGTCTCTGGGGGCCAGAGATGCTGCTCAACATCCCGTGGTGCCCACGACAGAGCCCCACTCTGCCAGGAAGAATCGCTTGGCCCCAAAATGTGGATAGTGGTGGGGTGGGTGAAGTTTTATATCGAAGGCTCTGGGAGAGTCAAAACTGATGTGATAATGCTCAGGGGCTTCTTTATTGTGAAAAACACACACTGAGAAGCTGAGGGGCTGCTGCATAGACTGAAGGAACACACCTGCCAATCTAGACTTCTATACCTAGCCAACGTACCCTTACAAAACAAAGATGAAACAGAGGTGGCTCTGTATGAACAAGAGCCGAGATGGTTAGCTGCTGCACTAAAGGAAACCTTAATGAGAATTCTTCAGGCTTCAGGAAAACGACTGCAGGTGGAACTGCACATGGGAAGACAGAAGGGTGCGTGGGCTAATTATGTGAGTACAAATAAATAGTTGTAAAAGCGATGACACACAAGTGGGCTTGGGGTTTCAGAAATGTGCCTGCTAGTGGGGTATTGTAGGCAGGTCAACTATGAGGCTTTCTTCGCCTATTGGTGGGGATCGTGATGGCAGCACCTCCCTTGTTGAGTGGTTGTGAAGACTGCAAGAGAATTCTAAGTGCTGCACTTGGCCACTGGCAAGACCTATCGTATTTATATGTGTATGCAGTCCTTTACTATGTCGTCAGGGTCTGGGAACTGCTCTAGACCCTCTTTTACTCTGTGCCCTTATTCTAGGAGCTCAGATCAGAAACTGTCCCAAATGACGGCATCTTTCCCTGGTAGGAAAGACAAGGCAGGGGAGGCCACGGTCTTGATGTTGGAAATGGAAATCTTGGTTACTGACTAGAAGCAGAAGACACTCCCGAGTTCCCTGTTACTGACCTGCAATGTTGACCTCTCAGGGGTGGGAAGGGGCCCGAGAGCCTGTCTCCTTGGGGCATACTCAGCTCTGCCATACTGAGCCCAGAGCAAGATCCAACATGGACAAACTGGCCAACACACACCCTGGATCTTGGCAAAGGATGTCTCTGCTCACACTTATCTAGCTACCAGCCACCCACCCACCCATCCTTCTTGTGAGGTCAGGCTTGCTTTTCAAACCAACCCTTGCTGCCTGCTTCCAAGGAAAGAACACACCATAAAAAGCAGGGCCTGAGAGCAAATTTTCCTCTTGGGTTTCTGGTGTTGCCATCTCTCTTCCTCCAAGATGCTTGCTCACACTACCCACCCCACCAGGCTGGATGCCAAGCCCCTCTCCTCTTCCTGGTCCTTGACCTAAAAGCACTGGGATAGGGAGAAGGGCGAGGGGCCCCGGGGTCCTATGTCCCAACCTACCAACTCCACAAAAGAAGGCACCAAGTGGATGGTTAAGGCTCTACACATAGGTCTGCTTTCCCATCTGACTTTATTTCACTTTTTTTTTCTATAAAACTCCTCCATAATTTCACAATTTAACAAAAAGTTTAAAATCCAGGACAGAAACGATCCTGTGACTTATTACAAACACGATTTCCTTTATTCCTTGTATCCAGGAGTTGGTCTTGGGCTGATGAGTGTCCTAGTTCCTAGTGAGACACATTCTTTGTAAAAACCCTTATGGGTAAGGGAGGTATTCAATACCTTTTGCTTTTAGGCGTCGGTTTACATTTTGTTCAGGAGATAGCAAAACACAGGGATTTGCACTAGGGGCAGAGGGCTTAACACTAAACACGTGGCAATCACAAAGTGCCAGCCCCTTCCTATGGAAGTGTCCCCAGAGCCCTCATAGGCCCAGCTGCCAGGCAGCTGGGGACGGCATGGGGAGGCAGCTGGGAAGGCTGCAGTCGGAGCCCCGGCTGCCTGGCATGTCCGTCAGGTGGTTACGGGACCAGCCCTAGGCCCAGAACAGCTCCGGAGGACAGCACAGGCCTTCTGGCCAGAGGAGGTAACTGAGAAACAGGTTGGTGCTTCCAGAAGCCCCAGAAACAGCAGGGAAGGCCAGACACTGCCGCTCCTGAGGGTGGGCTGAGAACCCTGCCTGCCTCCAGCTGCCTCTGGGAGAGCCCAGCTCCAGAGCAGGGCTGCCCTGTCGCTGTGTGAGGCTCACGAGGGCCTAGGGCCCTTCCCAGGAGATCCTCAATTTGGAGAAAGGCCAGAGCCCAGTCCCCAGCAGCGTCTGTGCATAGAGGGCTAAGCAGCTGCTGCCTTCTGAGCAGCCACGTCAGAACGGTTCCTTTTGTCCAATGTCTTGGGGAGTTTCCAAAGAAAGGTGCCCCACTTTGGAGTATTGTTGGCCTGCCTGGGGAGGGGACAGTGACAGCACAGAGCCTGCCAAAGGCTGCCCTCCTCCTAATACCTCAAGGCAGTGGGGCTGGGAGAGAATCCGGGTAGATGGCAGACCCATGGCAGTGTCCTCTGAAGGGTCTTGGGCCTTCCCCGAGCTCTGGGGATCTCACGAGAATGGCTGCAGCTCAGGGACGTCCTGGAGGCAGGGGCTCTCCAGGGAGTGTTCAGGGTCTGCCAGCAGCATTGATGGCTGGTGCCCCCTAGGGAAGGGGAGCTTGGCGCCCCCATGTCAGAACTCAGCAACTGGGGGAGGAAGGGCCATCCGACTGGGCTGGGGAGAAGAGGAGCCCGCCGCAGAGCCCAGTCCCTTCTCCCACATCCCATTCTGGGCAGCAGCTGGGGAGCATGGAGGAGCCTGGAGTTGAGGTCTAGGGAATAGAGGCTGAGCAAACAGCCCCCAGCTGCCAGAAGCCCCAGCTGGGAGGGAAAAGGAACCCGCCTGGGCCTTGGAGAATCTCAGGCGTACGAGGAGGCGAGTCTCTGGGTCTTTGTAACCGCAGGGACGGAGGGCCAGGCCCAAGCCAGGGAGGCAGGAGTGCCAGGCGGGCCTGCCGCTGGCCAGGGCCCAGCGTGAGGGGCTGGCTGAGTCCTGACGCACCTGGAAACGCTCCACAAACTAGCCCGTCTTATTTGGCAAAAGCTCATTTTTTTTCAAAGTTCGAGGACTCGACCAACAGAAGGGAGGAAAAGGATCCTAGGAGGAGGAAGAGGATGCGCCGCTGTCTGCTCCTGGGGACCGCAGCCAATCTGACCGGGCGCCAGAGCGCGCAGAGGACCTACGCACGGGTAGCGTTCACTGGCGCTGGGCTGTGCCTTCTGGGCCACAGGAGGACGGGGCCTCCTGGGAACCGCCAGGGAGGGCTGCGCCGGGAGAGGGCCAGGTGGCGCTCAGCTCAGCCTCCCACCCGAAGACGGTAAGGAAGGTGACGTCTTAATCCAAGTCCCTCGTGACGCACCCCCCACCCACCCACGTGCACTGCTCCACGGAAACACACCCAGAGACCGTTCTGTACCGACAGTGCACACGTACACACACAACAGAGAGAACTATACAGCACGAGTCCCAGCACAGTGAGGACCGGACGGAGGGATCCTGTCCGGCTTAGGCCCAGCCCAGTGCAGCCGGAGCCCTCGAGGTCCTGGGCACGGTGGAGACGTTCTGAACCGCTGGGGAGGCTGCTCAGAGGCCGGCAGCGAGCCGCGCCACTCACCGGGAGCCAGGCCCCCGCTGCCAGGTTCGCCTCTTCCCCTTCAGGAGCGGGGCCCGCGCTGCCTTCAACACAAGCCGCTTTCCAGGGGGAGCCCAGGTGGCAGCCCCTGAGTGTGGGGGAGCAGCAGTGCTGGCCCGGCGCCCCTCGGCCCTGGGGCTCCCGACGACGTGGTGGAACGCGCCGGCCAGGAGCCGGCGAGGAAAGTGCAGCTGGCCGTGCGGGCCGAGGACAGGGCGGTCACTAAGGCAGTGCTGCGGGCGGGCGGGTGGCGAGAGGAAGGAAGGCGGGGCCCGGGCATGGCCTCCCGGGACCCCGGCGACGGGGGCCCGGCACCCGCCCAGGGTCATGTGGCCACCGCCTCCAGGTAGCTCTGCAGCTTGCGAACTGTGGTCTCATCCAGGGAGAAGAGATCGAAGTCGAAGGTGGTGTTGGTGACGTTGAAGTGGCCGGTCTCTTCAATCAGGTTCACAATCTGGAAGGCAGTTGGTGGGGTGGCTTCAGGGGACAGGAGGCCCGGCTGGGGTGGCCATTGTCAGGGTCCCGGGCGGAAGATGGGTGCTCCTTGGGGCTGCAGGAGCCAGCATGTTGGGCGGGGCAGGGCACGTCGGGAGGGCTTACCGGGAGGGGCGGGGCACGCTGGGTGGGGCACACCGGGAGGGGAGGGGCACATTGGGCGGGAACACCGGGAGGGGAGGGGCACGCTGGGTGGGGCACACCGGAGGGGTGGGGCGTCGGGGCGGAGCCATACCTGCTGCAGTACGTTGCGCTCGCGCAGCGCCATCAGCCTTCGGTGCAGCTCCACCAGCTCGTCTGTGTAGGCCTTCGGGTGGCAGGCAGAGCTCAGCAGGCAGCCCCCCGTGCCCCTGGACCCCCCCTCAGCTCGGGGCCCACCCACATGAGGGCCTGATGCCCCAGGGGCCGGCCCCTCAGCGCGCCCCGCCCCGCATCCCAGGAGGCCGCCCCTCCCGGGGGCTTTGGCGCCGGGGCTCACCCCCGCCCCCCCCCCCCCCCCCCCCCCCCCC